AGCAGCAATGGCAGCAGCAGCAGCAGCAGCAGCAGCAGCAGCGCCGCTACCTTCTTCGTCCATTTCCTTGGGCCCAGGGCGGCCGTGTTGCTGCATCTCCTGCATGCAGCAGCCTCAGCAAATTTTTCTCTCCGTTGTTGTCTCTCGCAGCAGCAGCAACAGGATTTGCTGCTGCTGCTGCTGCTGCTGCTGAGTAATGTGGAGCAGCAGCAGCCACAGGCCCCTCTCCGAGCAGTCCGCCGCCTCCTGCTGCTGCTGCAGCAAAGTGTACATGAGCAGCAAGCTGCGGAGACACCCCAGCTGCTGCTGCAGCAACAACGCCTCCAGGCAGCGACATCCTGCACAAAACAGCAGCAGCAAACAGCAGCAGCAAACAGCAGCAGCAAATCTCCTTGAGGGTCTAAGCAAAAGAAAAAAATAGAGAAAGAAAAAAAATAATAAAATAATAAAATAATAAATGTAATAAAATGATAATCATAACAATAACAAAACAATAACAATAATAAAATAATAAAAATAATAAAAATAAAATAGTATAAGATAAATGCAGCAAAATATACCGTTGGGGCGGCGCTTGGCCGAAGTCGTGAAGAGGCATCGGCTGCTGCTGTTGCTGCAGCTGCTGCTGCTGCAGGTGGTGATGCTGCAGGTGGATTTGCTGCTGCTGCTGCAGGTGTACATGCTGCTGCTGTTGCATGTGCAGCTGCTGCAGCTGGGGCGGCAGCTGCTGCTGATGCAGTTGCTGCCGTTGGTGGTGCAGCTGCTGCGCGTGCTGCTGCTGCTGCTGCTGCTGCTGCTGCATGAACTGCGGCTGCTGCTGCTGCTGCATGAACTGCGGCTGCTGCTGCTGCTGCTGCACACCTTCAGCAGCAGCACTAGGGAATACTCCAATCAAAGACAGCAATTGACGTCCTGCCTCTCGGCCCTGTGCAGCATCCACTGCAGCATACAAACAACACAGAACCAGCAGCAGCAGCAGCAGCAATAGCAGCAGCAGCAGCATCAGCATTATAGAAATATGTCTATCTATAAGTATGTACACAAATGCTTCTATTACTCTGTCTACACGTACACTGCATTACACTTACGCGGCTGGCCCCTGTGGGGCCTCATCATGGGCAGCTGCTGCTGCATTCGTTGCTGCTGCTGCTGCTGCTGCTGCTGCTGCTGCTGCTGCTGGAAAAGCATCTGCAGCTGGTTCTGCTGCATGCGCTGCTGCGGATGATGGAGGTCGTGTAAGAGCTCGCTGTGGCCTATCTGTAGCTGCTGCTGCTGTTGCTCCTGCTGCCGGTGGTGCTGCTGTTGCTGCTGCTGCCTGTGGTGCTGCTGTTGCTGCTGCTGCCTGTGGTGTTGCTGTTGCTGCTGTCTCTGGTGGTGATGCTGCTGCTGCTGCTGCTGCTGGCCTTGAAATATGGCGCTCACTGTTCCTTGTCTTGTTTGCTGCTGCTGTTTGTGCTGCTGCTGCTGCTGCTTCTGCTGCTGCTTCTGCTTCGTCGGCAGCCCCCCGTGTTCTGCTGCTGCTGCTGCTGCTGCTGCTGCATCAGCAGCAGGTTCTTTTCGTGGGGTTACGAGCATTGCACTAAACCACGCAGCAACAGAGGCTGCCTTAGGATCCAAAGGAGCAGCAGCAGCAGCATGAGCAGCAGCAGCGTTTGCTGCTGCTGCTGCTGCTGCTGCTGAACCCTCGCTCGCCTCCGCTGCTGCGCCCGTCGGCGCAACCCGCAGCTCGCAGCCAAACCCCAATTCCTAAAAATAAATAAAAATAAATAAAAATAAATAAAATATAAATAAAAATAAATTAATTTAAAACGAACAAATTAAGAAATAATAAAAATAAATTAATTCAAATCAACAATTAAATAAAGCAGTGATGTCAGACACGCAGAAATAAACACAGAAAATAAAATTAATAAAATAATAAAAATAAATAAAATAAAATAAAATAAAATAAAATAAAATAAATATAATTAAATAAATAAACTGAGCATATGCAGCAACTAAAAATAAAACAAAATAAACAATTTAATAAATATGAACACAAGACAGACAAACAAATACGCAAATTCAAACAACAAATAAATAATAAAGAAAATAAATAAATAAATAAAACAATAAATAAAACAAAATAAATAAATAAGTAAATAAATAAAATAAATAAGATAAAATAAATAAATAAATAAAACAAATTGATTGACGAACAAACAAACAAACAAACAAACAAAATAAATAAATAAATAAATAAATAAATAAATCTTACGGTATCATCAATAAAAGAAAATTCTTCGTCTACGCCTGACTCGAGCTGTACGCCTCCCAAGCCGACAGCACAATGTGCAGCAGCAGCAACTTCATTACTGCTCCCCCATCGGTTGTCTCCGCCTGCTTGTGCATGCAGCAGCACATGTTGCTGCTGCTGCTGCTGCTGCTGCTGTTTTTGTTGTTGCTGCTGCTGTTTTCGACCTGCTGCTGCTGCTGCTGCTGCTGCTGGTTTTGAGAGTGAGGGGGAAACAGCTGCTTCTCCTTCCTGCTGCTGCTGCTGCTGCTGCTGCTGCTGCTGCTGCTTTTTGTTTTTAATTGAATTAAAATAACTTTCTAAACTCATGCCACCCTCAACTGCTCTCTCTGCTGCGCGAATATCCCCCATAGAAAATGCTCCAAGGCCGCCGTCAGATCCTCCCTGTGCATCTGCTGCTGCTGCTGCTGCTGCTGCTGCTGCTGCTGCTGCTGCTGTTGCTGTTGCTGTTGT